TTTGATTTTAATTCAGTTTTATTTGCATTGTGAAATATTATCTTTGAAGGTTAGTTGACTTAAGTAGAGTGAGTGAATAGATTGAAAATAAGGCTGACAGAATCAGATTGGTTGCTTCTCTCTTCTCTCAAACAAATGCATTTACATAAGGAAATCTTCTCTCAAACAAATGGATTTACATAAAGGAAATCTTCTCTCAAACAAATGCACTTACATAAAGGAAATCTTCTCTCAAAAAATGCATTTACATTAAGGACATCAATCTTTAATTTCCTTCTCCATATTCACCTTTTCCTTCATGGTAAGATAATACAAATCCTCCAATCACAGGTTTTGGATGAAGTGACCCGGGGAGGAAGCTTGGCTGTGGTGGAGAGTGTGGATCAAACTGCCTCTCTCTACGGCCGGTCCCTCCATGGACACCACGTGTGCCTCCTAGTCAAGTACCAGGTAGGGAGATATAATAAAACGAGTTACAGGTGTGAATGAGCTAAACAAACTAGGGAATGTACTAGATAAATTTCAATTTGAAGTTAGGTAAAGCCACATTGTCACTTGAGAATGTATTTGCTGTAAGGGCAAAAAAATTATTTGCATAGTTCTGTATTTATAGGGATTACTGTGATAATGATTTTTCTTTTGTCATTACCAATAATTTCAATATTAGTTATTACTAACCACAATTTTCATATTTCCCAACTATTACAACACCTTCTAATACAATTGTTACTTCCCTCCAGGCATCGAGTCGCCTCACAGTTGACGGCAAGAGCACTGAAGGGACTCTCCTATCTAACACCCTGGATTACTTGAAAACCACACTCTCGCAGCCGCAGTAGTCTCTTCAGTTTGCGACGTTGGGCAAATTTAAATAAAAACAGGGAAAGGACCTCATGATGTTAGAAAGTGTCACTTACATATATAAACATTTTCATGTAATATACAGTTCATTATTAGGTGTTTTTCATATACCCATCATTCTACCACATGAATCCACGGAGAAGTTATAGATATATATATACAGATTAAAAAAGAAAAGATTTTTCTATTTCATTACGTATTCAATACGTATGGTGTATGTCCAGCAACGCCAAGTGAATAGGCTGTGCTGTGGAGGGATGATTTCCACTAGTAGGCAAACTGGGTGTGATATTTAACTTAGGAAATATATAATGCTTTAATTTGCAAGCATTTGGGGATCAAGTATTTTGTATTCAGAAGAAATATTTGTTATTGTACTGTAATCCTGAATCAGAGTATGAGAAACTGACAAATAATCATGTACATTTGATTTAATGATATTTTTTCCTTAACCCTCCCTTGTTCCTACCCATAAACCTGCCCTCCCCAAAATAGCTGTACGGATTTTTTTATTTTACAAGTCATGCATTGCAAAATGGAAAAAAATAATAGAAAATAATACTCTGTAGAAGTACATTCATACATATGCAATAACATGTTTTATTTTGTATTTATTTATTTATTTTATTTTTATTTTATTTTTTCATTTCATTTTGTTTTTGTTTTTATTTATATTGAATGCCTTTGTTTTATATCATAAGATGATTTTAAATGATTTTAGAAGTCTTAAATGATTTTACCATTCAACACACAAAAAGATATTTATATACCTAACATATTTTTGCCATTGTGATTTCTGTGATCTGTATCTTACTCTTTTTTTACATTTTGCTCTGATTTATTCAATCGTATATTACCTCTTATATGTTATTTGGGAGATCCAGTGATACGAAAAAGAAATTGCAAAGCTTGAATGATGGTTTAGGAAATCAGGTTATTGCATAGTTGTTCATAATTTGGTTGAAATTAATTAGTGCCTTGCATGTTTCTTTTTTATATATATTTTGGTTGATTTCCTTATGTTTATTTATTTACATGAATTTTTCTCATATTTAATTTATTTTGTGATTTTTATTTGTTCATGTTCCTGCAAAACCGGTGAGACTTGCACTGCACTTACCATATCCTTGAGAATTATTAATGAACATGACATACAAGATTATGCTATATGGTAATTCATGTTTCTGATTCTACCCGTTGCATATATATTTTCAGATGGTGATTCAGTGTATAAAGAATAAACAGGTAACATTGTTCTCACAATACCTCACCTTAATAATGCTTCTTTTTAGAGATGTTTGTTAAAAGCCAAAAAAATTCAATCTTCCTTGGTTCGTAAAGTAAGGCAGGTATGACACTAATGCATGCACACAAGCACATGCCTACACATACACTCAATAGAGTCTGTCTCATACTCCTATCTTTTGTAAGTTATTCTTTTATTTTGTTTTTATTTCTTTGCTTTTCCTTTACTTACTTTCTACATCCTCTCTTCATATATTAGCCTTCCCCTTCTAGTTCTCACTCATCTCTCTCCCTGTTTCTTTTTTACACTTTGTTCCTTCTCCTTAAAAGTTAGCTTTTCCCCTTCTGCTTGTGGTGGCGGTGCTTCAAGTATTTTGTAGGTATAGGAAACCACTCCATTATGGATGTTGGATTTTGGGGTCATCTGATTTCAAGTTTAATGAGAAAGCAATGTTGACTTTAGTAAGATAACTATGCCAAGATGTGGCTTTAGGCTCCTAGGAAAAAAAAAATCTTCATCATATTGTTAACAGTTTTGCCTTATGATTTGAGGTTGAATGTAGAGGGAAGAGAAACTCTTCATGGTTTTATAAGATCCTCCTTGTCAGTAATTATTGTCCAGTCTTACAGAGGACAGTAGAAGATTATAGGAACAGTTATTTGGTATAGATATGTGTATTTTCAATTCCTGTACGGAAAGAAAAGATACATTCTTTACATTATTCTAAAGAAAATAGGAAAGTATGTTTTAATGGAGTTAATATCTCTCAAGATTGCAAATTATAGATACCTGTGATACATTTCACCTTTTGATTTGATTTATTGCATCAGAAGGGAGAGAAAAAAAAGTATTTTCAGACAGAATAAAAGCCTAAGATTCAACATTATGGCATTTATGAGAATGAAAATTTTGCAGAAAAGAAAACACTTTTTATAACCAGAAGATTTGTGAAAGTTGTCATTTAGCACAGATACTTAAGACAGATTTGAGTCAAACTTGTTTATCATTTTAGTTACCAATATTTATTTAATTATTAATCCTTTTAAATTTTGCTTATACTTTCTACTGCAACATTCCTTTTGACATACCTATATAGAGTATATGTTGATAGCTGGTTGCATACATTTTGAAAATGAAATAACTTGAAAGGGCTTTGTGTGTTTGTAGGTGCTTGTATGCATGTACATGTATATACTAGATATTTGTTATGGGTTATCAAAAAAAAATATATTATTAAACCTGTGTGGCATTAAGCAGCTCCATATCAGCCAATAGAAAGGCCTGAATTTGTTGTTACAGCAGTGAATACCGATATAAATTAAAATTTCCTAAACTATCTGGAAGAAAATTAGAGAAATAACAATTTGAATTTATAGTTTCATATCATCAACAAGATAAATTATGTTTGATTGCGTCAGAGTTAAGTTAATTTTATTTAGGGTGTATAATGCAAATGGAAAGTTAAAAAATATATATATAATTGTTTATAACGGAGGAGAATTCTACAATCGTACAGTTTAGTTTTCACTGAGCATGTCCAATCCCGTTATTTTACTTCATAATAAAAAATAGATCACGTGTAACAGGCAAAAGATGAAAAATACTTGGAATATATTTGGAATCCTACAGACTGACTGCAGACAGGAGCAGCTAATGCAGACAGCCTTTTTATAATCATCAAAATTATAGATCAGGGAATATCTCCGCAAAATGTGTGAAGCTGAGGGAAAAACATTGGCCAAAGGTGATCTTTCGAGAAGTGCAAGATACCGTCCCTTTCCTTGCTGCGCTTGGTCCAGGTCAAACATTTCTCTCGAGAGCAAACCCATTCATTTGAAGCAAACAGGTGGAAGGAAGTATCTGTTGCTAATGTCTCCTATGCATTAATGTTTATTTTTAATTACTTTTTCTGTTGATTTTGTTTCCACATATGAAAGTGTCTTATAGGGTTATTTTTATCGTGAAAGATGAATTTATTTATTTACTGTGGAGTAATTTATGTACAAGATTTAAGATCTAGTTTGAACTTTTACCAAAGCCGGTGTTCAAGATGTTTGTTAAACAATAAACAAAGCCAAGAATTATGTGAAGGTTGGAATTTATAATCATAGTTTAATCACTCATGTTAACTATTTGTGTTTTAAGAATTTTATCCTGTTAATATTCAGCAATAGAATCTGTTGTTTGTTTGTTTTTCTAATGTCCATTAAACTTTATGTTCCCCTATCCAATTTTGATCATAAGTTTTGAACTTTGATCTCTCAATGCATCATAAATATGATTCTGACAACACTAGTGATACATTTTATGAAAGAGGTTTGATTTAGATCATGATTACATATTTGTTTCAGTGTGTGTATACATACAGCATGCCATAATACGAGGAATTAAAAAAAGAGCAATGCAAGATTACATAATGGGTAATTCTTTCGTGCATGGTATACTTACACAGCTGTGGTCCAATATACCATTTTACAATTACTACCACTGAGCTTGTGCCAGAGAACTTTTGCTTATGATATTCAGGGTTTTTATGCTGAGAAAACTAGGAAATGGTCGTGTCTCATGTACAGACATGGATATTTGTTTTCAACTAGTGTAAATATATTTCGTGAAACTTGTAATTTTGTATTATTAGTGTCCTTGTTATTTGTTTAACCTGTTGTAGCTTTATGATCATGTTAAACATGGTAGAAAGTAGTGATTTGAAGGTTAGTGTTTATATACTTTTTGTTGTATTTAGTAGATTTTGTGTTTAGTATTTCTATCAACAAAATTTTGTATTAACTTGGTTGCTATATTAACCAATATTGAATGGCAATTTCGTGACTATTAACCACTAGGGTAATGCCCTTATTGCCACTAAATTAATTAATTAGGTAAACTTTGATAATACTACTGTAGAAATGACTAATTATTAGTAATTTATTTACTACAGTAAGTGATTGTATAACTTTTAATGATGTCTGTATTTCTTGTAGTTTCATCTTCTGAGTAGTTTAAATTGCTAAAAATGCAGATAGCTTAGTATTGATTTTTGAAGCTCATTGGACCAAATAAAATGGGTACACAAGAATAGGATCGAGATTACAATTTTTTTTTTATGCATGTTTTATCATTAGTTTCAATACTATATTAGGATAATGTTAAGGAATCCAGCTTTCTTGTCAAATTAATTAGTGCCTGAGAAGGTGAATAGGTTCCATTAACTTTAAGGGCAGGTAAAAAGAGTCAGAAAGGGGTCTTACTAATAACTAGCAGAATGCCATATAATACATTTTTAAAACAGATTCAAGTAATGGAATTTTCATGAGCGAATTTTAAGATCATCAGTACATCATCTTTACATTGATGCCACTTTCACCATATTTCAGGCAGGTACTTTTTAAGCAAATTGTAGCACCTTTTCCAATTTCTCATATTTTATGCAATTTTACACCAAACATTGCAATTGCATGACTCAGCCAGTGATATACCCTCCCGCAGACGAAGAATCCCAAATGCAAACGCCAAGGTCGCCGGCCAGGAAGGGAAGGGAAGTCCGTCCTCACAGCTGCAGGTCTGACGGGGAGGGAGGGAGGGGTAGGGAGGGTTTACGCGAGGGGAAAGGGAGGTGGGAAGAGGACCGGGGGTGGGTTGAGGGGAGGGTTAGGGAGGAAGGGGAAGGGTTGGGTAGAGGGAAAGGAGGGAGATGGGGTGGGTGTCGCCGGGAAGTCTATGAGCAGACGAGAATCGAATAAGCAGACAAAAGGCTTGAAAAAGCAAACTTTATGGCCAGAGCTGGAGGCACTGAATAGAACTGTAATGGGCCTAATAGACCTGCATACGGGCAGTATTTTTTGGAATTAGTAAACTGAAGTTTTTTTTTCTTTTTTTTTGGTATATGGCGATAAAGATCAAAAGATACATGGGAGATAATAGGTCAATGTTAAATAAATAACGGAGCGCAGTCACGAAGCCACAAACGTGGCCAAATTTGTCTCATATGCATAGGGGCATTTCTTCATATGCTAATACCAGCTCTTATGTAAAAGCTTAATGATATAGTCTGATCTTTAACCAAAGTCGGCGTTCATCTTGTTTTAACCAATAAACAAATCCAAGAATTATGTGAAGGCTGGATTTTTTTTACAGGGAAATGGCTTTACTTATTTCATTAATCACGCCTTCGTGAATATTCCACCAACAC